ATCTCATAGGTAAGAAAAGGAATGGCACAAGACCCTCTGTGCAAAGCCTGAACCCAGCACAACAGTGAGGGCTGCTCTGGCACTGTCCTGCAGCAACAGGACCCAGCACAGGTTCTGGGTATCCCAAACCCACCACTAACCTCTCCATCACTGTCGGATATAACAATAAATGCATCCACAAAACTGCGTTTCTTCTTGGCATTGGCTGGGTTCCTCTTATCTTCCTCCTCTTCCTCCCCATCCTGACTTCGAGACTCCAGGCCCTCTGCAGGCTTCTTCCTCCTCGGCATCCTTCACTCTGAAACAGAGGAAAAGATTAAAAGCCATTTGTTTCCTTCTGATTTAGATTTCCCCTAACACTCTTTTTTTTTTTTGCTATTTTTAGGCAAAAGACCCCAGGCACTGAAACCTTATTACAAAGCGTGGTGGATTTAGTGTTACTGGGAGCCACATGCACCAGTCACCACTCATCTAGTTAAGAGCACTTTATTACAGCTGATTGCTAAAACGGGATTTCAGGGGAACAGCAACACAGACCAAAGCCACTCTGAATGCCTTGTTCCAAAGCAATGAGACTTTCCTCTAAAAGCCCATCAGAAAACTCCTCCACAGGATCACTTCACAGTGAGTCTCCCACCGTCCAACACAACCGCCCCTCCCCAGCCCCACACCTCGACCAAAACAAACCGGGCTGGGGCAGTGGATCAAGCTGACATTTCCACACCAGACCAAGAAGCCACCACAGCACAGCCCTTTGTCAGCTTTTGTGTTCGACAAAACCAGGGGAAAAGGCATTGTTCCTTCAAGGATGCTGTCCTGCCGTCTGCACAGCTCAGTGCATGGCTGCTCCAGCACTACAGACAGGGAAAACACAGGCAATGGCAGCAGGGAAGCTGGAAACAAGACAACAGGTTTATGTGGCAGTATGGATTTCTCAATGAGCAGCAGCCTCCGGAAGAACTCCATCCAGACGTGCCCAAACCATCCGCATTAACGAAGGCACTTAACAAGCAATGAGGAACCTGCTGAGTGTTATCAGTGCAAACCTGAGTGCATGGAACAATTCAGGGCAGGTGCCCACACAATGCAAACTGGTACTTCAGCATCCCTTCCCTTGGCAGCCGATAGACTGATGGAGAGGAATGCACAGCAAGCATTAGCTGCCTGGATCCAAAAGAGCTCAGAGGAGAGGATTGGGAAGTGATCTCAGTAAAGGAGAGCAGCAGGATGGCATAGAGTTAAATCACCCTTTCCTGACTGTGCTTGCTGTTTGCCTGGTAGCTCGACAATAACATTCAGTGCTTCTTGAACTGCAATGTAAAAGAGCCTTACAAAGCAGGGTGAGCATGACCAGCTCTGCTGAAGTTCAATTAAACATGTGCAGACAGAGGTTGAACAACAAGCCCCTCGTTCCACATCAGGGAACAGCAGAGCTGGAAATGCAAGTTAAATTGGCCGGTTCCCAGACCAGCGTCCTTCCACAGAATCACTTTGCCTCCCTTCAAGATCACTGAAATAGCTCAGATGTGTACCGAGATCTAAAATAAGAGTAAGAGAAGATGCAACAGAAACCTTGCATCACCCAGGATAGAGCCAAACCCTTCTCTGTAACACCACAAGATTGCAAACAGCCACTGCGTATAGAAACATTAAGGGAGGCCAAAATCCCCATCAGCGCCGAGAACAGCAGTGCACTGCTCCATCTACAGTCCGAGCAGCAAGGTGAGGAATAACCATGCTCCCTCCCTAGATCTGCAGCTTTCCTTCTGCAAATACATGCATACACACGCCCAGAGACAAAAGGCGATTATCCTGGTGAGTCATGATTTGCACCAAAGGTTTGCTGAGCCCTCTGAAAGCAGAATGTTGCACAAATGGGCAGTCACGGCCAAAGCGACTGCAAGGACCTCTGCAGTCCTCCAGTGTTTATCTGTTTAGGAATCATAGAACAGTTTGGGTCGAAAGGGATCTTAAATATGATCTCATTGCAATCCCCTGCCATGGGTAGGGACACGTTCCACTATCCCAGGTTGCTCCAAGCCCTGTCCAACCTGGCTTTAGACTCTGCCAGGGATGGGTCAGCCACAGCTTCTCTGGGCACCTGTGGCAGTGTCTCACCATTCTCACAGGGAAGAATTTCTTCTTAACATCAATTTAGTCCACCCTCTGTCAGTTTGGAGCCATTAAAGGAAATAAAAATGAGCACTGCTTTTGGTAAAGCACTGGCTCTTGAAAAACAAAGCTGTTCAGCTCCAGCTAAACTGAACTCCAGCGTTGTTGGAATATCCTCACTGTATGTTCTCCTTTTTTTTATCTGTTGCTCCAAATGGTCTCTTTGCCCTCCCTGCTCCGGGAGATGAGCCAAGCCTCACACCCAGCTACTGTGGACTGCCCCCACAAAGGGCATCCATGGTTGTGAAGAATGTTCCCTTATCTTTGGAAAACCACTCACTCTTATGCCCTGAGGAGCACAGAAGCACATGCAGGGCCACTGAGGCTTTGGAGAGGCAGCCTATAAACCTTTTTACCCCCACAACAAAAGCAACAGCAACAAACAACTGCTGTGCTGCCTCTTTGGTTTGTTTTTTAAATCCATGCTGGTATCACCATCTCTCCTCTGACTCTGCGATACATCTTCTGCTCAGTGCTCTGTGCTAAATAAGAGATCACTGAGAAATATCAGCTGAAGTTATGATGAGTCACCTACCTTCAACATTTAAAGGAGAGAAAAGAGGAGATGTAAGAGATGTAACCACACAACTCCCACAACGCTTCTGAAAATGAAGGGACTTGTGGCAAAGAGAGTCTCTGAAAATGTAACTAAGGGAACAAGACAAGTAAGAGATCACTCGTAGCTGTGCTAGTCTGAGGCTGTGAGTAGGAGAGCAGTAATAGCTTTTATTAGACAAACTGGTGTAGCTGAGGGAAGACAACACGCATCAGAGCACAGACCTCCTCTTCAGGAAGCGAAGTTGAGCATATTTTGCTTTTAGCACTCTTGGAAAGGATAGTTGTGAGTGCCTAAGGGAAAGATACCTGCTTTCAGACCCAGCAAAAAAAAAAAAAAAAAAAGACCAGAGACTGAATTATCTAAAATTACCTTTGCAGTCCAGTTTGCAGACTCATTTTGCAGTTTTTTCCAGATTTTTTTCCAACTCTGAATTTAAGAGAATTTCTTTGTAAATGCTCTGACAGCAAAGGTGACCTCCTGACAAGGAACTCACACATGCCACACTTCTCCAGTCACATTTTTAGGGATATCCTTGAAGATCCCAAACTTGTGATTATTTGTCATTTTCCCTCTCATCTATCATTTTGATGAATCAGAAAGCAATTACCGACAGAACAATTCTAAATCTTGACACTGCAGCTACAGACCTGCCAAGCTGTGACAGCTTGAAAAATGCTCGAAAAAACCAAGCCAAAAAAAATGAATGACTCTCATCCCCGGATGAGTTCCTGAGTCGTTGGAGACACAGGCTGTCGCTTTGTAAACAACTCCCCCCACCTCGGGAAGCAGAGGCACGATGCTCCCCGCGCTCAGGCAGGTCAGCACCACACGCTTCCATGGAAATATCATCCCCAGACCCTCGGCTCAACCCCGCACAATGGGCCCAGCTGATGCTCCATGAGCAGGACACGAGGGCTGGCAGGGCCCCGGGGAGAGAGAAATTGTTTACAGGATTGATCCGTTTATAGAGCTGGCTCTGCACAGAGGGGACACGGGCACTGCAGAGGCCACGCATGGCCGGGCGCATCCGCACAGGCTGCTGAGCTCTCGGGAGATGCTCCCTGCTCCAATGCCCTCGGGTCCAGCCCGAAGCATCTCCCTCCTCCAAGGGCAGGGCAGGAAAACGTTTTTCCCTTTGTACATGGACGGAAAGCGACCCTCGCCCCAGAACCCACCCACGGTCCCTTCCCTTTCCCAACTCGCTGCCTTCGGGCACTGAGGGCTCTGCAGGGAAATTTACAAGGATGGAGTCAGAGATACTCGACAAGCTGGGGAGAAGCATGGGGGATCTCAGGCGGGATAGGGGTGAGCTCTTGGGAAGGGGATCAGCCACAGGTGGGCACATATAAGGGAAGGGAGCGTGTAGGGGCTGCCCCGGGAAAAGGGGGGGGGAGCCAGGCCTGGGAGGAAGAGGAGAGGCAGGAGCGTCTCGATCTCCGGGGATGCGGCCAAGGCAGAGCTCCGGTTTTCGGGTTCTCTCCCCAGGGGACGGTCCAGGAGGAGTTCCAGGGTATCCCCAGGCGCAGCACCTGGGTCCCCTCCAGACAAGAGACAGAGGAAGTACCCTTAGAGAGGGACGGGGGGTATCCCTTCGCCAGGGGACAGCGCTAGGGGCCAGTCCCGGGCCGCCGGGGGCAGGGACCGGGGGGTCATACCTGAGGGAGGTCAACCCGGGGGCAGGGGCCAGAGAATGGCCCCGGGCAAGGGAAGGGGTTTCCCTCGCAGCCCCGGGAGCCCCGCGGCTCGCCGGGGGCCCACCCGCCGCAGGGCAGCGGCATGCCCCACAGGGCACAAGGTACTCACCGGGCCCGGGCCGCCCCGATGCCCGCGGCCTCCCCGCCGGGTCTCCCGCACCGGCCCCGGTCGGCGGGTCCCGCACCCGCGCTCAAGTTGGCGGCGGAGGCCTCATTGCCCTCAGTCAAGATGGCGGCAGCGGCTTCGCTGCCTCTCACGTGGTTATCGGGGTGCTGAAGCGGGCAGCGCCATGTCCGTGGCGGGTCGGCAACAGGCCCGGCCGCCTCGCTCTGAGATGCTGGTGGTCTCACCATTTTCTCAGCCCAGACGCGGCTTCCTCAGGGGAAGGATGCGCAGCGTCGCTTAAACACCCACAAAAACGAGCCGCCACGGGGCTGTCCGAAATATTCCTGTGCCCACAACCAACATGTCCGCCGCCGCCTCCCTTGGAGGGTGCGGTGCTCTCGCGGGAGACCGCCCTACCGTTGCTAGGCGCGGAGGGGGCGCGCGGGCGGCTTCTCGCGAGAACAGCGTGAGGCGGCGACGGCGGCCATGGCGGACGGGGCCGGTAGCAACGGGGACGCTGCGGGGCCGCTGGTGGGCAAAGAGGCGGGTGAGGCGGCGGGACCGGGAGCGGGCGGGTGGTCGGGCCCCAAGAGGTGCCCTCTAGCTCGGTTGGATCCTGCGGGGTGCGGGGCATCCCGAACAGGGACAGCCCGCACCTCGCGGGGTTCCACCGGGCCGCTGACGCCCCCGTTTTGTGTCCCACCCCCTTCACCCCACAGTGGAGCGGCTGATCCGGGAGAACGGGCACATTTTCACCGAGGCGCAGTGCAAGGTGTGCAGCGCCCTGCTCATCTCCGAGTCACAGCGACTGGCTCACTACCAGGTAGGGAAGGGGGAGCCCCCCACCTCCGCCCCAGGTCAGCCCCGCTCTCGGCGAGGCACCGAGCGGGGGTTTCTCTACTTTCCCCAGAGCAAGAAACACGCCAACAAGGTGAGACGGTACCTGTCCATCCACGGCGGGGAGGAGGGTGCCCAGGGGAAGAAGATGAAGCTGGAGGTGAAGCAGGTGAGAGGAGACCCGATCAATGTCTATAACTAACGTCTACAATCAATGTCTTAATATCTAGAGGGTAAGTTCTGTGAAGAGCGGCTGAGGAAGCTGGGGTTGTTTAGTCTGGAGGAAGGAGGATCAGGGCAGACCATATTGCTCCCTACAACTCTCTGTCAGGAGGCTCTGTCCAGGTGGGGATCAGCCTCTTCTACGAAACCAGCAACAGGACAAGAGGAAATGGCCTCAAGTTTTGCCAGGGCAGGTTCAGGTTCGAAATCAGGAGGAATTTCTTCACTGAAAGAGTTGTCAGATATTGGAAGGGAGGTAGTGGAGTCACCATCCCTGGAAGTGTTTAAGAAATGACTGGACATGGCTCTGGTCTAATTGACTTCTGAGTCTGCCCTCCCCCAGGTGTAACCAGCACAGTCGTGACCAGTCAGAAGTTGAACTTGATGGTCTTGGAGGTCTTTTGCAACCTTAATGATTCTCTCATTCTGTGAAATGTCTGAAAGGAGGGTGTCAGAGGATAAACCAGACTCTGCTCAGGGGTGCCCAGCAACAGGGTGAAAGGCAACAGGCAGAAACTGATGCGCAGGAAGTTTCACCTGAACATGGGGAAGAACTTCTTACCTATGCGGTGACCAAGCACTGGAAGATTGCCCAGAGAAGGTGTGGAGTCTCCCTTACTGGGGATATTCCAGAACTGTGGAGTCTCCCTTACCAGGGATATTCCAGAACTGTTTGGATGCAATCCTGTGCCAAGTGCTCTGGGATGACTCTGCTTCAGCAGGGAGCTTAGACCAGATGATCCACTGTGGTCCCTTCCAGCCTGATCCATCCTTTGGTTTTGTGAGTGCAGGATCCACCAAGGTTAAATACAGCTCTATGGGACCTGCTGGGCTAAAGGTTGTTGCACAGCCTTGTAAGTCAACGAGGAAAATGCTCTCAGAAGGGGCTTTGTGAGAACTGAGAAACTCAATGGCAGGTGTTTCACCAGGCCTTATCCCAGTTCCTGCTGCCATTCCCATTCTGACAGCCTCTTTGCGTTTGTCCTCCCCATTTAAACAAATGCATGTTCCTCTTTTTGATAGTCTTGCTTGAAATGACAGAGAAATAACAGAAGCAACAGCTTGTTAGGAGCATCATTGCATGACATCATGCAGAGCACACTGGGTTCCCCATCCACAGGAATTCTCTTCCCAGAGCATTACTTTACTTATTTAGGTTCCCTCAGTTGGTCGCTGGAGCTTGTTGGTCAATAAAGGCCAGACATTCCATTCAGCCATCTGTCTGCCCCGTGACTCCCTTGTGGAACAGATTCTACATTTATGATTGCTTCAGATGTAATCCCTAACTCTGGCATTTGCAGGGAGCTGGGGGATAACAGCAGATGCCTTTGCACATAGTGTCAGGCTGAGAACTGCCTGCTGCTCTCTCCGCAGCTGGTGTTGTGTTGCAGATGACCCAGCTGATAGTGATGTTTATGCTGCTCAGTTCGCACCTTGCAGGGGACAAGGCTGCATGGTCCAATTTTGGCAGCCACATGCTTAACCTTGTCCTTAACCCAAACAGGCCAGGGCTGCCCCTCTGCCTGGCGTGTTTGCCAACAGGTTAAAAACAGTAATTGGTTCAAGAGCACTCTCCAGGGAGGGAGAGAATGATGCTGCATCATGGAAGTTCTACCTAGTCACACTTCATCAACTTAACACCCAAATGTCTTTGATGATCTTTTTTTAGACCCCCAAACCATAGTGTTTCTCCTCAAAACCATGAGGCTGGACGGGATGGCCTACAGAGGTCCTTCCCAGCCTCAGAAACTCAGTGGTTTTCTGTGCACAGGACAGCAAGCAGGAAGGCAGCAATGGGGAGGACAGAAACAAGTGTTGTCCCATCTGCAACATGACCTTCTCCTCTCCGGCCGTGGCAACATCTCACTACTTGGGCAAGACTCATGCCAAGAACATGAAGCAGCAGGCCCCCAAAGCAGAAGGTATGGATGTCTGCAGCACCTTCACTTTGTCCCAAAGGACTGTTGAGACGTTTGTTGAACCCCCAAGTGTGAGCTCCTGTAAGAGTGCGTGGTCTTTGCCATGAAAGAGTAAGCCAGCAGTGCACCTCCAGAGACCTGGCTCTGCCAGCCTGCTCAGTGGGCTGGCATTGGCAAGAGGTTGTGTGGTTTTTTTGTTTTGCTTTGTTTGAGGGAAATGCATCTGGCAGCAACCATTGTATGCACCCCTGTATGCAGGGACCAGGCGTGTGATATTAAGATGTAGAAACTGTCACAGGGTATGATGCTCATTAAAAGGTTACAGAGACTGAAGTGACTGGTGAAACTCTGATGTGGCAAATTCCCCAGGGCTGCTCAGCTACAACAATGTGGCTTCTGAGGTTCACAGACTCGGGAGCTGCAGATTACTGGGGAGTGGGAGAAGAGAGCTGGGGAGCATCAGTATGTGCTTGTTCTGACCTTGTCTGCCCCAGCACAACTACCCATATGTCCTATCCCTTTGCTAGAAGCCAGAAAGGCCTAGTGGGTGGGGAGTGACACCCTCTGTCCAGGACAGGTACGGGTAGCCGTGAGCCAGGGAGGCTGCAGCTGGTCAGGACAGAAGGAAAACACAGCCATTGAGTGCACCTGAGGATGGCAGCTTGTGCTAGTTCCAAGGTGGGGACTTGTGAGTCACCCAGACACCTGATTTCTGGGATCTTCCAGGCAGAAACTGTCTGTCCCAGCGTGTCTTCGTGACTTTGCTAAAATGTGTGCACAGCAAAGCCACCTCCAGGATCTTCCTGTTCTTTGGAGCCCCTGCTTTTGGGTATGATAGGAGCCTGCAGGACGACGTGGATGTTCACTGAGCAGTCTGGTGTGTGCCTTTGGTGCTGCCATGAGAGGAGCTCTCTGATCCCTAGCAGGTTACTCACTCTGCTCTTTGGCACTCTGGAGGGAGAGGTTGTAGGTTTCTCCACCACACAGAAGAGCTGCTTCCCTGTGTGAATTCACTGTGTCAGACCTGGTGCCATTTGTGCTGTGTCTCAGGCTCCTTATGAATTCAGGATCAAGTCCTGTGCTTCCAGAATCCCACTGCCTTTGCTGTGCAAGGGCTTGTGCCCATGTTCTGTCTGGGAGATGATAACAGCAGGTGGAAGCTCATTATACCCAATGTTTCTTGAATACAGTCATGCTTATGTTAAGGAAAAATATGCAAATGTGTTGGATTTTTTAAGCCCTGAAAGTTTTCCTGGCATACTCGAGTTTCATTACCACATGTCTTTAAATTCTGCAGTGTTAAGGGAAGAGGTAGGAAAATAATTAATTTATTGAGATATCTTACATTGGCTGGTTTGGGGTTTAGATGTAGGGCGTTACTGATTTTAATGTGGGTTTGGGGGAAATAAAGTAACTGTTTTTTACCTCTGAGTTCTGTGACTGACCAGGAGTTTGGATTCACCCTACAGAAACGGTGCCCCCACAGAAACACCCTGCTGCCCCCCCCAGCTCTACTGCATCTTCTAATGAAGAGAACAAGGACATTACTGACCCGGACAAGTTCTGTAGCCTCTGCCATGCCACTTTCAACAACCCCCTTATGGCAAAACAGCACTATGTAGGCAAGAAGCACAGAAAGCAGGAGACCAAACACAAGCTGATGGCGCACTACGGCCGAACCCCTGATGCGCCAGCATCATCCTTCATGGGTGAGTTCTCAACAGGGAGGCTGATAACCAGCTGAAGAGCAGGGTGGGAGAGAAGCAGGATGTGTCTGTCAGGCCTTTGGACAAGAGAGTCTGTGTGGAGGGAGCAGGGGAGTATTGCTTGTGATGAGGAACTTGATTATACACCCTAAGATTGATTTAGTTGATGTTGTAACCCCCAGCAGCAGATGTTTTAGACTGTAGCTACTCGTGACAAGCTTTGGGTTGTGTTATGCGGTGGTGTTGAATCGGGGACGTGTCCTTTTTATTCTCTGTGCGGATAATCCAGGGATTTTGGCCAGTACTGTTTCTAGTTAGGTGATTGCATCCAAAATGGAAAGATAAAAGTGGCATTTGATGCTTAAAAGTCGTCTTTGAGGGGACTAGCCAGAGATGGAAGGAATAGGTTTAACTGCACCTGCTGCTTCAAAGCACATGAAAGCCAGAAAGATTTCTCCCTGAATGCCTTTCTGTCTCTGTGTGGGCACTTCCATTTGATGAACTAATGCAACTCTCTCTGGAGCAAGCAGGAATGTGGAAAAAAACCCCAGAGCTATTAAGGAGGAACTTTAGGCAGACAGTTACAACTCTTTTGGTTTATGATCTGCTGCTTATGAGCACTTGTACGTGATGAAAGCCCTCCGAGTCCAGTGAAAGCATTAAGCACTCACAGAAAACTCCTTTGTTCCTCCCAGCAGCCTTCTGTTGGGCCAGGAAGTCTTAGTACCTGCTGGATACTTGAGGTAAATAATAAGCAGACAGATCATCTTAAAATCTTCATTAAGGGCTTCTTTCTCTGTCATAAAAACCCACACAAGCAGAAGATTAATTATTCTAATTCTTTGCAGGCCACCTTTAGATACCGGTAGCACTTATGACAAATGAGGCTCAATTAGCCAAGTAATGTTCTCTCCCACATTGCATGGCCGTGTGGGAGATGGAAAAGGTGCTCGGTATCTCACGTTACCCATCTGCTCTGCACCTAATTAGTGGGGTCTGATGAATGGTTCCACTTGAGTGTGACTCAGGCGCTGACAGGGGCAGGAGCCCCAGCCCAGGTGGGCTGGGTAGGTGGGCAGTGCCATTGCCTGGGTAGGTGGGCAGTGCCCTTGCCTGGGTGATTGATGTTTCCCAAGAAGCAGCAGCAGAACGGGAATACATACAGTCACATCTCCAGGGCACTTCAGCTCTTCAGGAAAGGTTTCAGAGCCTGGGCTTATAATCAGGGGCTTCTCAGATGAGACGGGCTGCAGTCAGGGAGGTTTCGTCCCATTCTCTTTGCCTGTGTCTGTGTCCCAACAGTCACAGTTGTCCCTAAACTCTCTGCTGGGACCTGACTTGCAGCAGATAAAGATGTGTACTTTGCAAATGCTACACTGAGGTGGTTGCTCACTTAAAGTTCTTTGGGAACAAGTAGTTTGGGGTTGAGGAGTATAGTTTAGGTAACTTAGTGCATGCCCCTGTTGGATGAGTTATCAGCAGAGAAACCTTGACATTGATGATGCAGGGAAGCAGGCCTGAAGGCTGTATCAGCTCCTCTGGCCTTTACTGCCCAGATCCAGCTCAATTTTGAGAGCCAGGTGTCCCACTGGAGTCTGAAATACCTGAGTTGCAGCAGCCACATGGCGAAGTGGCTGCTACATCCAGAGCTGAGCTTCCCATTGGTTCACTGCTCTGCGCACCTGGGGTCTGTCTCCTCTTTCACCTTAGGGAAATGTCTTCTTTGTGAGATTCCCAACCAGAGCCCTTCTCCAGTGAGCCAAAATTCAGGAACCTTTAATGTCTTGAGGACAACTGCTAGAATTTTTCCCTGTTAAAGACTCCTGTGCTGCCATACTCGCCTATTTGGTATCTGTGACCTTCTGAACTTTCAGTCCAGCTGGAGTTGTCATGTTACACAAAACCATTGATCCTGTCAAGTACCACTATTGTTGGAAACTTTTTTTTTCCTGGCAGTTAACTGATCCACTGAGTGTAACCAAACTGCTTGAGGACAGAGCTTAATATCCTCAGTTGGCATCTCAGCGAGGCTTAGCAAAATGCTGCATTGTGGAGCTGGACAGTGGGTGTAATCTCCTCTGACTGCCTTTTTTATTGAAATGTTATAAGCTTACAAATTCAGTATCTCCTATCTTCTGTTATGAGATGTCCAGATCAACAGAAGTAGGAATATGGCAGAGAAATGGAGTTGCAAAGGCAGTTACAGCCTTTGGGGTTTGGGGTCCAAATCTGAAACTTTTACTATGCCTGATACTGTGAACTGTTTGTAGGGAACATGGGTGTGTTTTTTAGTGATGAACAAACCATGTTCTCGTGAGGAAAGCTTTTTTGGCTTAGTGATTGCCTTGCAATGACTGGCTGATACATGCTGGAGTACTGGGATTCTGTGATCTCCCTGCCTGGTCAGATTGTTGACTGTTACTTGTCTTTATTTAGGGTTGTTTCATGAATCAGGTGATTGAGTATCTGACTTGTTTTTAACTCAACACGAGGATTGGCTAGCTCTGTGTGCTAACACTGCTGTCTGTTTCAGCTGGGAAGGGCTACCCCTGCAGCACATGTAACATAGTGCTGAACTCCATAGAGCAGTACCAAGCTCACATCAGTGGCTTCAAACACAAGAATCAGTAAGTAATGTTCTTGTCTAAGTTTATTTCCAGCTTTGCTGTTCAAATCGATGGCCTAAATATAACCTAACATGCATTTTTGAGCACGTTTCCAGCTGACTTCCAAACAGAACAGCAGGGTCTGTGCAGGTTCTCTCTGTGTGTCCTGCTCCAGGAGCTCCCTCTGCAGACAGCCCAGTTGTGCTGCTAAGGTGGAAGTGCCTCTGGTTGCTTTTGGTTCCTAATAGTTCAGCTCAGCATCTCAGCTCAGCAGTTCAGCTCAGCAGACCTTTGCAGTGAACCTGACACCCATTAAAAACACAGTTTCTCTTAGCAACTGAGATTTTAATTTAATTAAGGACTGGCTCAGTGGAGATCTGCTTGCCATTCTAATCTCCGTTGGGATTGCTTGTTTTAAAATTTGGCATATAGTCAGCACGCTCCAGAAACCTGGACTGTATTCCTGAGCTCGATCTTATAGCTGGCAAGTTAAATAATGGCATCCCTTGCATACATTATTAATTGAAAAAAATTATGCTGCCAGATGATTAATACCAAAAATACTTGTTCTGGAGACTGCCAATCTTTAATTTAAGAGCCTTCACTAAAAGAGGCGCAGTTGTGAGCCTGGATTGGTTAGAAAGCTTCTTAGAAGGAACAGGTTTTAGGAAATCCTACCTGAAGGGAGGGCAGGCTCCTAGCCAAATTCCCCAGAAGGGACAGGAAGAAAACTGGGATCCTTTGTTGCCTGTCTATGGAATAGCAGCCTCCTGGTCCCTCAGCTCTCGGGAGTACTTGATGGGAAGACATCTTTAATCCCAGGGAAGTTCCAGCTCTCAAACAGCACTATTAGATCAATGAATAGGAAGTATTCCATTCTAGAGAGATAACATTGAGGATGCTCCCAACATACACACATTAATGTTCTCTTTAAGGACACTACTGTTGTTGGAGCTGTCGCAGCCACACAGCTCCCTTTCAGAAAGCTGCTCTGGATTCAGCTGTGCAGTCGTGTTCCAGCTTCTGCAGCCTGCAGAGAGGCAGGATGCTTGCTTTGTAATGGGAGCTCTTTAGCAGTCCTTGAGCTGTGCCGCAGCTAATTCTGCCATGCTAAAGGTGTCTGTTTACACACAGGCACAGAGAGCAAGGATTCACTTGGAAGGTTTTCTGGCAAGTTGTTGCCTTGGCTGCAGTGGGCTGTTGCTCCACTGACAGCCTTGCCTGCTGAGCAGTGATTGCAGCTGGCACATTTCAGAGCATTTGTGACATTGTCTCCTTTTTTTCCTTTTTCGTGCTTCCTTCCATGTGCAGGATGCCAGGAGCAGTGCCGGTTGTCGGACCGTTCCCGCCACAGCAGTATGTCCGGGAAGAGTCAACTGCCCCAGGAGGCTACAGTTACTTCAGCCAAGACTTCTAGAGCAAGTTGCAGCAGTATTCTTGGAGTTGTTGGTGGCCCCAGAACGCACATCCTTTGCCAGCCCACAATGGTTTCATTATCCCTCTGGATAAGCAAAGCCCTACCCTCCTGTATACACCCGTTGAGCAGAACGGGGACTGAATCTGTCAGGAAAAGGATCCAGCTGGAAGAGACTTGCTAGACAGCAAATACTTCACTCCCTTAGAGTAGTTTTCATTGTGTAATTGCTTCCTGTGAAGGTGGGTGTGGTGTGAGAGGAAATGTGTATCTGGTGTAAGGAGGGTTTGGCAGCAAGCTGGTAGTGGCACCTTCTCCCTGTCCCCACTCTGGGGCGCTGCCTGTCCTGCTGCTGGACTGCTCTCAGGAACACCAGCACCCGTGGGCACCCCCGGGCATGACAGGAGGGGACCTGGAGCCACCCACATGGTCGGGAGGCTGAGGAGGGAGCATGGCCCTTGTCCCTAGGTGTGCCCTGGAGTTGGTGTGCTGTGCTCCTCACTGCCCTGGGCCAGAGCTCTGGCTGCCTCTCCAGGCTGAACTCCATTGCCTTTTGGACTGGCAGGCACAGGACAGAGCAGAGAGCCACCCGTGAGCGACATCCTCCACAGAAGCACCACAGTCCCCTGCCCAGGCCACAGCCAGCTCTGTGGAGCCAGTTGCTTCTCCAGCAGCACACCCAGGGTTCCTGCCTCAGCCAGGGGAAGTGCAGTCCTGGCCACGGCCCCAACCACTGCCATCTCTCGTGGCCCCACTGGCTCCATTGAGTAAATCAGGTGCAGATATGGAGTCAGGATTGGGTGACTGCTTACAATTAGGGGCTGGGGAGATTGGGGTGGCCCCATTCCTGCCTTGCAGTTCCTTGCCATGGCTGCTGCTTTAACAGGATGAACCCCCAATGTTGTGCAAGGGACAAGGCTGGTGAGCAAAGCTCCTGCTTTCTTGGTCCATAAATGGGCACCATGGCCTAACGCAGCACATGGGGTATGCCATGTCCCCACGGGGAGCAGGACACATTCTGGCCCCATGCACCTCATTCCCTGTGCCAGCTGCAGCCACAGCATTTCCTCCCACACCCAGGGCAGGAAGAGGTGGCAGGGCTGCAGTGGGACAAGCATGACACTGCCCACCCTCCTGCCAATCACTCAACTTTTATGTTCCCCACTCAGCCTTCACTACCCAAATCTGTGGATGCTCCTGTGCCATGCTGGGGGCTGGAGGAAGCCTGGGCCCCTAGTGGCCCTGTCCTGCATCCCCTGCACTGGGCCCCACATTCTTGGCTCCCCAGAGGGAGCAGCAGGTTTATGTTTGCCAAGTTCTGCCTGGTTAAACCTTAACCAAGTGGGTTGCTCCATCAGTCCCTCCCAGCCAGAGATAAGGATGGGCAGGCAAGACCAAGGCCTGGTGAGACATGCTGGCCCAAACCTGGCTGCTTGGCTACAGGGCAGGACCCAGCCCCTGCAAAGCACCGTGCTCAATCTGGGGCAGCTGCCTGTCCCTCCAGCTTGCCCCCTGCTTTCCTCAGTGGGTCCCCACTGATATGAGGGCGGCAGGTTGTGGCTGGGGCCAGAAGCTTCCATGTCGAAGCCAGTGGGACTGGATGGAGCTGGAAGCCCTTGTGCTGGGGCTCACCCCTGCGCTCCAGAGATGACCCACTCCCTCAGTGCTAGAAGGTTCACATCACCCCAGCACATGGAATGAGCCTGCTCAGCCTCACATCCTATGCACGTACAGGGTACAGTGAGCTGGGGCTTCTCTGCCCCAAAAAAAGAGCCGTTCAGGGGAGGCCAAGAGAAACTTCCAGGAGGAAAGAGCTCCCCAGGCTCCGGCCCCCACAGGAGCCACCGTGCTGCGCGGGCTCTGGCTGGCCGCAGGTGCCACCGCAGCGGGAGTGGCGGCAAGTGCTGGGGCCAGGCACAAGGGGCGGCTGTGTTCCCGCAGCTCCGGCTGCCTTCCAAGAGCAATATTGTTGGCACCAGGCAGACTCCCTGCACCGGCAACACATACATGGGCCTTTCATGAGGGGAGTGGGGATGATTTACTGCCTGGGGGAAGGGGCAGGGGCGGGAGGATGGAGCCCCAGCATGCCGGCGCCCGGCCCCTTGTGCGTGCTCACTGCCGCGGGGCCCTGCACATATAAGCAAGGCCGAGGATCTGGCCAGGGGGTCGTCTCTTCCAACGGGTCATGGGGCAAGAGGGATCCCTCTGTGCCATCTATGGAGTTCTGAGAACACAGTTCATCTGTGGGCACCCTGCTGTGTCTGAGCTAAGCAACCACGGGTCACACATCCCTTGTGCCACATTGATGGGGGCAGCCCATGAGCTGGGGGAGACAGGGGCACCAGAGGAGGGTGCTGGGGCAGGGGTGCACCCACAGCGCTGAGTGCTGTGCTGGCACAATCCCCCCTTGTTGAGCTGCTGGCGTGGCAGAGGCCGTTGTGGTGCTGCCGGCAGCGGGTGGCAGGCAGTGGGGCTGGGCTGCTGTGAAGGGCTTTTTGTTTGCCGTCAGTTGCTGTTATAAATCAAGCGAGGCAGCCCAGCCCCAGCCCAATGCTGCCCCACGGCAGGGAGGTGGCCAATTCCCAGCTGCCTACAGCAGAGCCCCACCAAGCCCCGGCTTGTGCCTGGCAATGCCCTGGCGCAATGGGGATGTTTAGTGTGACACTAGGCAAGGTGCCCACACTGGTCTGCTTGCCCTTCTTCCACTCAGCATTGGGGAACTCTGGAATACAGGGAATCTTTCCATGTTCATCCAGGCTGTGGCTCCCACAGTCTCTCCCAGCTCTCCCTAGCGTTCCCAGTACTGGGAACGTCCCCTTCTCTCTGGTTTTGATTTGGTTTTGGTTCGAATTGAGCTGAACCCAACATTTTTCTGTGCTTCCGGCACGCTGTGAACTCTGCAGGGGCGGCCGCTGCTCCGTGAAATTGATGTTCTCGTCCGCTTCACGCGTCAGCAGGAATGAACAGCTGCTGGGGGCTGCTGGCCCCCAAGACTGCTCTGTGCACCTCTGCACCCCAAGGGGACACCAGTATGGGGAGCAGCACGGGGTGGATGGTACTATGGGAGATTGTAGCACCCACCAGACCTCACAGTGAAACCGTGTCATGCTTGAAGTTGCTGGATTGGCACAGCATGGACATGGCTGTGCCCAGGACTCAGAGTGTGACCCTATGGAATGAGGGGTGACAGTGACAATGACAATGCAGCCCACTCACAGGGCCTCGAGATCTACGCCAAACGTGGGCAAGGCTGTGTGTGGGGCTCAGCACAGCCCTGGAAGATCTTGCTGGGAAGCAGGTGGCAAAGCAGGATACAGTAAAGGAGAGCAGCTCTAGGGCCAGACCCTGGCCATGTACTGGGGGACACTGACCCCTCTTGTTGGCTGCAGGATGCTCGGGCCATTGTTCCTTGGGACCTCACCAGCTCAGAGTGTCTGAAGCCAGGCTTCACCCAGTGCCCAGAGGTCCTGCATGGGCCAACGAGCAGCAAGGTCCGGGCATGGTGGGGTCTGCCTGCCCCAGCACAGCCAACAGCATAGGGAAGGTGAGAGCGAAGTGTTTATGGGTCGGATTAGGCCACTCCAACGCTGGCTTGCAGCTCAGCCACGTTTTATGACACTCCGTTATGGGCTCCTAATGAGGGTCACAGCCACTTTATGGCACCGACAGCGATAACGCTACAACTAATTATGGCACAATTATCGTGTGGGCTGCTGGGCACCCAGCAACACTTAGCACCCAGCCTGGGCCACGACACCTGCTTCTGGCTAGAGTGCTCCCACTCCAAGCAATCGGGGGCGGGGGGGTAAATGGGGGTGGCCTTGCCCCCTGTCCCATCTGCTGCTCCCACGCGTGGGGTCTGCCCGCGGGACGGCACAGCGGAGCAGCCCCGGGTGTTTGGCAGCCCCCTGCGTTCCCCACTCGCGAGGGGAGGCTGCACCGGCAGGGCCGGGACAGGGGGCTTGGGGGCCGCCTCTCGCTGCGGGGGGGGACGCCCGGTGCTACCCCCCCACTTCCCCCGTCCATCTCGGTGGCGGGTCGGTTTGCAGAGGTGCCGGCGGAGCAGGGCCAGTCCCCGTTCCTCCCCTCCCGCCTCTCCAGCGCTCCGGGCGGGGCCGCTGTAACCCGAGCGCGTCCCTACAAAGTGCCCGCGCCCCCGCGGCGGCGGCAGAGCGGGGCCAGAGCTAGCCAGGAGCGAGCCCCAGCCCTGCCCGCAGCCGGAGCCGTCCCGAGCCCGGAGCCGGAGCCGTCCCTGGCCCTGCCGCCATGGGGCCACGGTGTGGGGCGCGGCGGCGCTGAGCCCCGCTGTCCACGGACTTTGCCCCGGCCCGCGCAGCGCAGGCGGCTCCGCCGTGGGAGCCCGTCACCGCCGGTAACCGCGCCGACCGCGACCCTCGCCCCCAGCACCATTCGGCACCCCCCCCCCCCCCACTCCCGGGACACTCTCTCCCTCCCTGGGATCCCCCGCGGTCCCCCGTCCCCGGCTAACCTCCCCTAGCGCCCTGACCAGGCTGCCGCTCGCTGGGGAGGTCGGGTTCCCGGCACCCAAACAGGGTGTTTCCCACTCTCTGTGCCCCCTCCCATTCCTGCCCAGACCCCCCTGTGCTCTGCCTCCCGTCCATGCGCACCCACCCTCGCGGTGACCTAGGGACCTCGCACTACTTCTTCCCGGTGCCTCGGGAGAGGAGGGGCTGCCCGCCCGGATCCGCTCACCCGACCCTGCCTATCTCGCAGGGTGAGACCCCCGCGCTGGGGGGGCCTGGAAGATGCGGCCCCTCTTGCAGGTCGTGGCGGGGCTGCTGCTGGCGGCGGCTGCACGGGGCAGGGCGATGGAGCCAGGTACGGCTGCGGGGGTGAAATGGAGCCGGGGGGCGGCGGGAGCGGGGTCGTGCTTTCTGAACACTTTCTCCATCCCAGCTGGGATGCGGGTGCTTGCCCTAGGTACACAGCCCCACCGCTCTGCCTGCAGGGCTGGGCTGGCGGGAGCTGGAGACACGGCACAGAGACCAGCGTTTCCATCGCTGACAGGAGCAGGGTGGCTCCAGCCAGGCTGTCCCTATGCTGCGGGGGCTTGGCTCGCTCGGTGGACACGCGTGGCAGAGAGGGGTGCGAGACCGCTGTGGGCTGTGGCTGCTGTGTGTGGCTCCTGGGGAGGTGCGGGCAGTCCGTGCATCGCGGTGGTGGGTGCAGGAGAAGGACGTGTCCCCGGGGA